AAAAAACCCATAGATCAGAGACAAAGTTCTGATATTAGCCAGTAAAGTTCTAACACCACCAAAAAACACCTATAAAACCTAGAAGGACCAGAAGCCCCCGGGCTCCCAAGCTGGGGCTGAGGGGTGCTGAGGGCCTCAGCCGCGTCCCCCCAACATCTGCATCCAGCCCAGTGATGACCACCAGGCTGCCACTGGAATCCCCCTGGGCTTCCTTGCTTGAATGAGGGGGGTGCCACAGGCTTTGACCATGCCCCCTCCTTCCTGCTCCTCCCATGCTATCCTCCTCCCCTTTCTCCTCTCCCCCGAACTTCTCCACAACATCTTAGAATGTAAAATAATAATAACAATAATAATAAATAAATTTTTTTGAAAAGAATTTAATGTCTGTTTATATTGAAAGAAAAGTGAAAAGATAAGCCACAGACAAGGACAAGATAAGTGTAATATTTTTTAGAGGATTATTATCAAGAATAGAGAATTCTTATAAATTAATATGAAAAAGATAAACAACCCAATAGATAACTGGGCAAAGTTTAAGAAAAATTCACTCAAGAGAAAACTCACAAATGAGGAATCCTAAATGGCCAAGAAACATGAAAAGATCCTCGATTTCACTGGTAATGAAGAAAACACACAACAAAAGTACAGAAAAAATTTTAGTCTGGCAATATCAAGTATTAATTAGTATTTGAGAAAATGAATTCATGATTTTCGTTGGGGAAGTGAAACTTTAGAGGGCAATTTGACAATACGTAGAAGACTTGAAATTGTACATATCTTAGATCCAGTTTCTCTTCCAGGCATAATCCTACAGAGACATATAGCCAAGGAGAAATATAAAAGGAAGCTTGTTGCAGTATTTTATTATTGAAATAAGTGAAAAAATTAAATTTCCTTCAATATGGAGTGAATTAAAAAAGAAAATATTAATACAGTGAACACATGCAACTGTTTGAAGTAGTACACCAAATGTATAAAAATGCATAAATTTCAAAATTACAATATTGAGTACAGAAGAAAAGATGCAAATAGATGTCTATGGTATGTTTGTTATCACTTAAATAAAAACTTAAAACACATAAAACAACATTATACATCATTTGTGGGTGATTTGTAGAAAAACTATAAACACATGCAGAGGAGTTAGACACCCTGACACCAATAATTAGGGAGGGAGGAGGAAAAAGGATGAGAGGTTGTATCTGTAATGTTTTATTTCTTTAAACAAAGAGACATTTGAAGCAAATATGGCAAAATGTTAGCATCCTTATATCTGAGAAGTGGGAATATGTATGTCTGTTATATTACACATTTTTTGCACTTTTTGGGTATTTTTGAAATAGTTCCTAATTTTAAAAAATGCTAAAGATCATTCTGGTTGTAGGACAGACAAGAGATTAGAGGAGAACCAGAGTGGATATAAGGAGAACATTTGTTTAGCAGCTGTAATTCACAGTATATTTAAATAATTTAAGTGTATGTTTATATAATTTATTAAAAGCCAAACAAAACTTTTAAATACAGCACAGAATGTATTATAAGCATATTTTCCCAAACTTACTTGCTCAACCTCTCTGTTGAGGGAATCTACTTTTTCTTTTAATCTGTTACCCTCTGCCTCGGCAGTGATAAGTTCCAGTTTGAGGGTATTGTTATCTGCCTCTGATTGACGGGCCTTATTTTCCCAGTTTTCAGCATCTTCATTGGCTTTTCGGAGTTGTTCCATTATTTGCCGGTTCTCAGATTCCTAAAAAGAAAAGCTTACTTTAAAACTTTAAAAATATTCAACATATGATACAAATTAAACATTATTTTCCAGGTCATTGGGAATTCACTTGCCATGAAGAGCACTTGTAATATAATCTTGAGGAAACCTATCCGTACTCTTAGTTTGGAAAACTGGTCATCCTGTGATTAACAAAAGGGAGTGAGATCAGGATCTGCCCTGGCTCCTGAGTCACACTCATCCTGCCAGTAAACTTAAATAAATTTAATTACTCTTATCTTTAGGACCTGGATGAATAAGCTGTTATGTTTTCTTTCTTTCAAACAAAATCATCACTGCCTCCTTTTCCCATATGTCTGCTCACTGACTACTTGCTGGTCTGGTTTCTGAGCCTCTGACCTTTTCTATCTGTGTATTCCCTTGTTCCTGACTGCTTTACTCAGTTGCACTGGCTACAGAGCTTCTGAGTACTTGCATATCTTAAGTATCAACTTCTGATGATTCTCTTGGTTTGGCACATTTCTTTTCTGGTTCCTGCCTTTCATTCATAGCCCCTGCCTTAATTTTCTTGATCATGGACGGTTCTGTGATTCACTATTGCCCACTATTCTAGCAACTTGCCTCAAATTGCTCAGACGTAAAATATAAGACCTATAACAATAAGCACTACTCATAAATATGCATTCATGTAAAAATTGGGCATACAATAAAGAACGAGATTTTTAAAACCTTCAAATTTCTGACATGAGCAGGCAATGAAGTAGGATCCTATTTCTGGAGGGAAAAATTCAGCTCTACAAATAATATATACTATACTGGCAAATCATTATTAGACTATTTTTTAAAATATATTTTAGAATTATGGTCTGGCCAACTCATTCTAAAAAAATCAGTTATAATTTCAGTAATTACTTTTTTTTAAAGGGGCACTAGATCTCTTTCTCTTTTACCTACTAATGAATAGTGCATTTCCCTATCAGAAAGCCTCAGCTAAATTAAATGACTAGGTTGCAAAAAATAATGTCTCACCCTATAAGCCTTTCAAATTAACTTTATGTTCTCACAATTATGATTACTTAATCATTAAAAAACTGGTTGAAATTCAGTTAATATCGCCACCTTGTGGTCTCTAATGTGAAAAATCTCTGCCAAGACACTTACCGAGTTAATATGCTAACGTCTCACCCTATAAGCCTTTCAAATTAACTTTATGTTCTCACAATTATGATTACTTAATCATAAAAAAACTGGTTGAAATTCAGTTAATATCGCCACCTTGTGGTCTCTAATGTGAAAAATCTCTGCCAAGACACTTACCGAGTTAATATGCTAAGTTTATTGGCTTTCAAGATTCAGGTATTCCAAATGTGCCAGGAGGAACATGTGTGTTTTCAATGATTATACTGAAAATAATAGTTGTGTAGAGAATATGTACTTAGGAGGTATATGGTACAATACACATACACTGAATTTTACCCACTTTCTGTAGTGTTTATTATCTATGTCATTCACTTAAAATTGCCTTTTAGCTTTATGTAGTTAGGTGTGGATCTACTGTCTCCCTGATAACACCTTGAAGATAGGAAACATTTTTATATTTTGTTGTGTGACCAGGTAATACATCACTCAAAGTGAAAAAGGATTGCCATAAAATGTCTCTCTGGCCCTTCTCGGCAACCAGAAACCATAGTTTACCCATAGAGGCCAGAGCAGTGTGGGGCTGAGATAGGCAACATTATAAAGAAAGTGAAAATGTTCTTCGGTATTCTCCATTCCCCACCTTCAGGATCTCTTCATTTCCAAGTATATGGTGACTCCCCCATCCTGTACCCACAACTCCCTCTGGGCACCCACAGGGTTCACTGCAGCACTCCACCTGCCTCATATGGAATCCTTTGCATTTCTAGCCTGAATTATGGTTGCAACCTCTCCTAATTGTTCCCGCTCCTTCTGATTTTGTTACCCTTCTGATTTATTCTCCCTAATATCTGCAGAATAATCTTCCTAAAAGGCAATTCTCAAATAATTTCAATGCTTAAGTTCTAATGAAAACTTCCTGACCATAGGGTTCAAAGAAGATCCTCCTTATTTCTCCATTATCACCCATCTGTATACTCCACTCTAGCTACAGGACCTACTTTTTCCCCCTTCTACCTCTGCTCATGTTGTTCCTACTGCCTGGGGAGCCATTCTGTTTCCTCTCTGTTTTTCGTCTCTGGCTTCCCAGCACCTAGCTCACTGCCCAATGAATCAATGAGTGAATGAATGAAGTACTCCACACTTGTTGATGGCCTCTCCCTACCAAAATGGACCCATGGTTCATTCTCTCAGGGGTGTGCCTAGATCCACCTACTGCTGTGAAATGCAATCTCATAAACAAACTCACATTAGGATGCTAAAAGCTGAGAGAAGCCTGATGTGTGATGTCTGAAATACAATTCCAGAATATAAAAGCTCCAATCCCTAATGGTGGAATTTCAGGTAATATGACTGACAGGCTAGGGAGATACAGGGAAGCACTTAACATTGGCTGAAAGCTTACTACGTTAAATGTTGTTCTAGATATTCATTTATTTATTTCTGACTAGATGGCTGACTGTGCTAGGTGTTTCAAATTCTTTATCTCATTAACTTGTGTGTTCTTCTCAATTACAGATAGGAAACCGAGACTCAGAGAGGTTACTGAGGAGCCTGCATAAATCCATGTCATTAGTGAGAAGAAGAGCCAGATCTTCCTGATTCCAAAGCTGCTGTCCATTTATGCTATTATACTGTTGGCACCTTAAAATCAAGAAGTATAGGAAACCACCTGCTTTGTCCACATAATACTACCGCCTTGCTGCCTGAAAGCAAGGATTGCAATTTAGGAGTCCTTAGAATCTCTTATCTCTTAAAGCCCTTATGTATACTATGAATAAATGTCCAAGATATATTTGTAGACTGATATTAAGTGATATATTAAACAAAATAAACAGTTTTGGGGGAAAAAGTTCCTATCAATGGTTAGAGTGGTATGTAGATAACACCACACCTATTATAATAATCAATCCACCTACACAGTTTTAGATAATATTTTACCTAATGAATATATCTAACATCCTTAGTCAAGCTATTTATTCCAGGGTTGCCACACACACACCCACACTTGTTTGGAATCATGTGATGTCACATACCTACGCCTGGTCAAATAGTTGCTAACAGAGAAGTGCAGATGACAGCCATCTGCGCTCTGGTCTTAAGAAGTAGATGGCCCCATAACAGGAGATCAATTCTGCTACACAATCAGGTGGAGCCTCCTTTGTCAGAGGTTTGTAATTTAAAACTTCACCATTTTCAAATATAAGTGAGGCCAAGTTGATTCTGGCCCTTTGCCCTTCATGCAGAAAGATTCTGCTTGTCTAAAGTGGCTGAGTAGCAAATTAAATGGGGCATACTCTTAAGTCACCTTTTTGCACATTGGTGACATTCTAAATATACAGTTAATCCATCATTGTCAAAACTAAAACATGCTATGTATTAAAGAGTTGATTCACCTCTTCCTTTGAGTGTAATCAATTACTAAATTAACTCTAGTTAAAACCCTTAGATATCATGAGCAAAGAGAAAAAATATATACATACTTCAGACTTTAATATATTCTTCAGCTTGTTAACCTCCAAATTAGTATCTTGGACCTTCTGTTTTATGTCGTTAAGTTCATTATGAGTATCATTCAATTTTTTGGACAGTGCCTATGAAAAAAAGATAACTAGATTTGACTACAAAAAATTAAAAATCCCTGTATGTCAAAAACACCATAAATAAAACTTTCATTACTTGCAACAAATATGATAAATAAAATTAATATATCAATATATAAAACTCATATTAAAACAGTGAGAAAACACAATAGCCCAACATTAAATGGACAGAAGAACCAAACAGACAATTCACAAAGAGGACACATAAGTAAATAATACTTGAAAAAAATTAAACTTTACTGGTAATCAAAGATACGATAGTTAAAACAATGAAATACTATTTTGCCTATCATATTATTAGAGATTTAAAGCTATTTAGTTATGGCGAGAAATAGGCATTTCTATATACTGTTGGAGTTGATATAAATTTGCAAAAAGCAAATTTGTAATCAGCTCTCTGGTGATGAATCAAGAGACATTTTTAAATGCTCATAAAAACAAGATAAAAATGTTAATTATTGTTAAAGATGGGAGATGGTACAAGGGAATTCACTATATTTGAAAATATCCATTTAAAAGATTTTTTTAATTAAAAAAATTTCATATGCTTTGACTCAATTTGAAATGAAATCTAATAAAATTTAATGAGATAATGTTCACTGACACGTTACAGTGACAATATTTATTCATATTATGTGAATTACACAGTAAATAATAGTGTATCTACATAATGGTAAAACCACGTAGTAGGATATTATGCATTTATGAGAAATATTTAGAATAATTTTTAATATATTAAGCAAAAAAATCAGGCTAAAACACAAAAAATACCTCATTATCCTAATTTGTTAAAAACTGTGGTATCAAGGATAAAAATTTTTAAGGTTTGCATTTTCCAAATCTTCTACAATATTAGTTCTTAACCGTGGCTCACAGAAGGATACCTCTTCTGTCCATGGGTCTATGACCCAAACGAAGGCAAAAACTTTCCCTGAACATATGTAAATTATTATTACACCAATTTTCTTCTGATTATAAAACATGTTTATGAAGTTTGAACAAGGCAGGGAAATGCTTGTGGAGTTATAGTAAGTTAATAATAGTCACAAAATATTTATTGAATCATATGCTGGACACTATGGTTAATGCTTTCCAGACATATTCTTGTTTACTATCCATTTTTATAGAAGATGAACTGAGATTCAGAGAAGTTAAACTATATGATCATACAACCAGACAGTGAGATTCAACCCCATGTGAGTCTTAAATACTCAGCTGTACTGCTTCCTCATGTAGAAGAAAATACGATATAAAGTGGTATGTGGGATTTTATCTCAGCTACATCAAAAAGTACATGTAAAAAATTGTATTAAGAAATTTTTAAGTGTACTGAAAATTGGTAAAAAAAAAAAAAGTCAAATGTTAACAGTGACTAACTTCTGGGTGGTAAAAATATAAGAATTTTGTTTCTGTTACTTTTTAAATTTTTTAAAAAGATTTTCTATAATGAGCTTCTATTTCTTAACTAATCAAAAAAATAGAAACTAAATGTCTAGTTTTTCATAAATATAGGTTATATTCACCTTTAGCCTATTTGCTATAGATACAAGAGATTACACAAATGTAGACCTTTTAAATTTGCATCTATTGGTTTTTATTGCTAGTCATTAATTTTTAAATAGACTTTATGTTAGAATAATTTTATAGAAAATAGATTTATAGGGCCGGCCCGGTGGCGCACTGCTACAGTGCGCCGCTTGGGAGCGTGCTGGCGCTCCCGCTGAGGGTNGAATCTCTTATCTCTTAAAGCCCTTATGTATACTATGAATAAATGTCCAAGATATATTTGTAGACTGATATTAAGTGATATATTAAACAAAATAAACAGTTTTGGGGGAAAAAGTTCCTATCAATGGTTAGAGTGGTATGTAGATAACACCACACCTATTATAATAATCAATCCACCTACACAGTTTTAGATAATGGACTGATATTAAGTGATATATTAAACAAAATAAACAGTTTTGGGGGAAAAAGTTCCTATCAATGGTTAGAATGGTATGTAGATAACACCACACCTATTATAATAATCAATCCACCTACACAGTTTTAGATAATATTTTACCTAATGAATATATCTAACATCCTTAGTCAAGCTATTTATTCCAGGGTTGCCACACACACACCCACACTTGTTTGGAATCATGTGATGTCACATACCTACGCCTGGTCAAATAGTTGCTAACAGAGAAGTGCAGATGACAGCCATCTGCGCTCTGGTCTTAAGAAGTAGATGGCCCCATAACAGGAGATCAATTCTGCTACACAATCAGGTGGAGCCTCCTTTGTCAGAGGTTTGTAATTTAAAACTTCACCATTTTCAAATATAAGTGAGGCCAAGTTGATTCTGGCCCTTTGCCCTTCATGCAGAAAGATTCTGCTTGTCTAAAGTGGCTGAGTAGCAAATTAAATGGGGCATACTCTTAAGTCACCTTTTTGCACATTGGTGACATTCTAAATATACAGTTAATCCATCATTGTCAAAACTAAAACATGCTATGTATTAAAGAGTTGATTCACCTCTTCCTTTGAGTGTAATCAATTACTAAATTAACTCTAGTTAAAACCCTTAGATATCATGAGCAAAGAGAAAAAATATATACATACTTCAGACTTTAATATATTCTTCAGCTTGTTAACCTCCAAATTAGTATCTTGGACCTTCTGTTTTATGTCGTTAAGTTCATTATGAGTATCATTCAATTTTTTGGACAGTGCCTATGAAAAAAAGATAACTAGATTTGACTACAAAAAATTAAAAATCCCTGTATGTCAAAAACACCATAAATAAAACTTTCATTACTTGCAACAAATATGATAAATAAAATTAATATATCAATATATAAAACTCATATTAAAACAGTGAGAAAACACAATAGCCCAACATTAAATGGACAGAAGAACCAAACAGACAATTCACAAAGAGGACACATAAGTAAATAATACTTGAAAAAAATTAAACTTTACTGGTAATCAAAGATACGATAGTTAAAACAATGAAATACTATTTTGCCTATCATATTATTAGAGATTTAAAGCTATTTAGTTATGGCGAGAAATAGGCATTTCTATATACTGTTGGAGTTGATATAAATTTGCAAAAAGCAAATTTGTAATCAGCTCTCTGGTGATGAATCAAGAGACATTTTTAAATGCTCATAAAAACAAGATAAAAATGTTAATTATTGTTAAAGATGGGAGATGGTACAAGGGAATTCACTATATTTGAAAATATCCATTTAAAAGATTTTTTTAATTAAAAAAATTTCATATGCTTTGACTCAATTTGAAATGAAATCTAATAAAATTTAATGAGATAATGTTCACTGACACGTTACAGTGACAATATTTATTCATATTATGTGAATTACACAGTAAATAATAGTGTATCTACATAATGGTAAAACCACGTAGTAGGATATTATGCATTTATGAGAAATATTTAGAATAATTTTTAATATATTAAGCAAAAAAATCAGGCTAAAACACAAAAAATACCTCATTATCCTAATTTGTTAAAAACTGTGGTATCAAGGATAAAAATTTTTAAGGTTTGCATTTTCCAAATCTTCTACAATATTAGTTCTTAACCGTGGCTCACAGAAGGATACCTCTTCTGTCCATGGGTCTATGACCCAAACGAAGGCAAAAACTTTCCCTGAACATATGTAAATTATTATTACACCAATTTTCTTCTGATTATAAAACATGTTTATGAAGTTTGAACAAGGCAGGGAAATGCTTGTGGAGTTATAGTAAGTTAATAATAGTCACAAAATATTTATTGAATCATATGCTGGACACTATGGTTAATGCTTTCCAGACATATTCTTGTTTACTATCCATTTTTATAGAAGATGAACTGAGATTCAGAGAAGTTAAACTATATGATCATACAACCAGACAGTGAGATTCAACCCCATGTGAGTCTTAAATACTCAGCTGTACTGCTTCCTCATGTAGAAGAAAATACGATATAAAGTGGTATGTGGGATTTTATCTCAGCTACATCAAAAAGTACATGTAAAAAATTGTATTAAGAAATTTTTAAGTGTACTGAAAATTGGTTAAAAAAAATAAAAGTCAAATGTTAACAGTGACTAACTTCTGGGTGGTAAAAATATAAGAATTTTGTTTCTGTTACTTTTTAAATTTTTTAAAAAGATTTTCTATAATGAGCTTCTATTTCTTAACTAATCAAAAAAATAGAAACTAAATGTCTAGTTTTTCATAAATATAGGTTATATTCACCTTTAGCCTATTTGCTATAGATACAAGAGATTACACAAATGTAGACCTTTTAAATTTGCATCTATTGGTTTTTATTGCTAGTCATTAATTTTTAAATAGACTTTATGTTAGAATAATTTTATAGAAAATAGATTTATAGGGCCGGCCCGGTGGCGCACTGCTACAGTGCGCCGCTTGGGAGCGTGCTGGCGCTCCCGCTGAGGGTTCGGATCCCACATACAGACCGGCCGCTCAGTGGCTGAGCAAGGTGCGGGGGCAACACCGAGGGTTGCGATCCCGTTGCCGGTCCCGGTCCGGTACGGGCGCGACACTGAGGGTTGCGATCCGTTGCCGGTCACGGAAAAAGACAAAAAGGAAAAAAAAAAAAAGAAAATAGATTTATAGAAAAGTTGTGAAAATGATAGATTCCCCATATGCCCCACATTCACTTTCCTCTATTATTAACATTTTACATTAGTATGGCACATTTGTCAAAATTAATGAACCAATATTGATATATATTATTAACTAAAGTCCATATTTTATTCAAATGTCCTTCATTTTTACATAAAGCCCTTCCTCTGCTCCAGGATCTCATTATTCATTAACTTGTGAACAAAGTACTTTAACATCTCAGATAATCTTTTATAAATGAACAAATCTTTGCATCTTTATAGCTGTCTATGTAAATTTAAAATATTTAACAGTTAAAAAACACAGACTTTTTATGATGCACACTAAACACATTGAAAGTGATATCAAAGTGGAGAAAATCATTTTGACTGAAGAATTTTGAAGGGGTAAGTAATTTTCCAAATAGAATTCTCTAATGTTCGAGTTAAAATGATGTTATTGGAAATGAGAACTATGGATAAGACCGAAATATTTTGGCTTAGAGAGGGAGTAATTATGAAAGGAATTTCCCTAAAAAGAGTCATAGTGCTAAAGATCAAAAAATGCAGCCCAGTCCATACGCTCACATGTACACAGAATAATATGTAGTCCACCAAATAAAAATACCCTTTTCTTTAAAGTTTCTGAAGGTTTTTATCCTCATCTGTTGATTTATTCAAATATTTATCCTTCAGTAAGGAAGTACTTTCTAAGGTTTAATATAAATCTATTATATCCTCGTTCCCTCTTTTAATATTTAACACACTACATCTGAGAATTTCATTAAGAAATTATGTGGCGTATTCTGTTATAAGGGTTAAAAAAAAGACTAGTTCCAATATTTGAGTTTTCCTACAAATGAGAGGACTGTGCCTCAGAAGAAATACATTTTTTCTTGAAGAGAATGAGCCTTAAGACCTAGTGTACCTGGTTTTCTTGTTTAGCTTTAGCAAACTGTTCTTGGAGAGTGTCATTCTCATGAGCCAAGATATCTCTTTCCCTGGCAATCTGGGCCAGCTCATCATTTGTTTCATCCAATTGCCGGCGCATTCTGGAAATGTCTTGTTCACACATAATTAGGGCTTCAGTAGACTGTCTATTTCACAAATCCAATAGTACATAAGAAGAGACATTTTACTGAAACAATAACAAATTCTCACAAAACAGAAGACAGATAGCATGAAAACATTTAAAGAGCTTTCTGACACCATTAAGTACATACGAATATAAACTGCAAAGACAGTGCATTAGAGTTTCTCTACACTGCCATCATTTCACTATGAAAAGGATACTAAATACACATAATAGTCAACGATTTGCTAAGTACTTCAAAACTTCTGACACCAAGGAAGAGGAAGGCCTTCATTCTACCCCTAGCTGTTATGGTTTAGTCTCCTTTGCAGATTCCTGCTCCTCTGCCCTCTTAAAAACTAATGTTTGGGCCGGCCCGTGGCTCACTCAGTAGAGTGCGGTGCTAATAACACCAAGGCCCCGGGT